CATACGTGCTATTAGTAGTGCATTCAAACTTGATTTACCTTCACGTAGGGGCACTCGAACTCAGATATAAGAGAACCGTCACGGGAAAATACCGCCACATGAAAGCGATTCCCATGAGAATCACCTATTAGGACGTCACCGGCGTCTGAAATGTCTATCCCATTCGGAAAGTTGGTTAAATTCTCGCAACCTATTCGACGAATGAAAGCGCCATCTTCGCTGAAAACGACCACATTGTGACCCTTGATATCGCAGACGTAGTACTCTTTGCCTATTAAAAAACCAGAATAACTATTTATGGACCAAAAACTATCTTAACTTATTTTAATTATGCTCTAAAGTAAATAATAACGGAAAGAAAGCGCTAAAGTATTACGGCCCCCCACTTCTAAGAAACCTCAAGAAAACTATACCACAAAGGTTGAGTAGTAAGGAACCTCTCAATTTTAATAAAAATAAGAAAAAATTTAACCAATTTCATTCTTCCACCACCCTCTATACGAAACACTTAAATATCTCCTAATTTTAATGTTTACTCACCATGTATAGCTATATCGCTAGGCTCGCGCATGTAATCGCTGCAGTCAAACCAACGCAGAAGATCACCATTCTCTGATATAACAAATACAGTGGGACTAACGCTGTCTACGGCCACAATCTCACCGTGGGCTGTCACCGCCAATCCGGCCACGATATCGATGTAACGAATTGCAATTTTTTTGACAAAGTGGCCGTTCTTAGTGAATATCTGCATGCGCGAACGTTCGTTGCCCCTGTCACACACCACGTACTTACCACTCGCGCGCATTACCGCCACCTTGCGCGGATACCACAGCTGACCTTCGTCTTTACCTGGAATGCCAAACTGGAATTTGAACGTACCCGTTTTCTCAAATACCTATAAAAAATGACAAACACATTTCAAACGTTAAAATAGACAAACGAAAAAATAAAAAGCTTACTTGAATACGATGATTGTTCGTGTCTGCTACAATGATATCCTCCTCGAGACCAAGACAAAAACCATGTGGTGAATTAAACTGTCCTTTACTTGGCCCTAATTGACCAAACTTGCAACGGATCTGCATAGGGCTGACCTTATTGCTACGAGTCACCAAAGGTCCCACTCCACTAACTGTATTTGGAGGACCAGCGGTAGCTGCAGCTGCTGCGTTACCTTGTTGCGACACTATTGCGTTTAGTGGATCAGCCATCATTTCATCTGCCGTCGTCATTAAAGGAGACGTGGATGAAACGCCGCTAAAACCGTTCATCAGCGTGTTCGGGATGTTAAGAGAGCCAGGCGAGTTCGAACGCATCAATATGTTACCGTTTGAAATGGCATTTTCAGCTGAAATCATGAAACAAGTTACATTACAAAAAAAAATTGAGAAAAAAACACAAAGCAACATTACTCGAATTTGCCAGTCCCAGTTTCGCTAGCGACGCCAGGTTTTTGTACGCTGTATCAGTGGTAAATAGGTCAGCAAGGGTGGTAAAAGAAGGAGGAGGAGAAGCAGCCACATTTGCAACTACGGCAGCTGCGGCCGCGTTGTTTTCTGCAATTGTTGCCAACTGTGCAATGTTGTATTCGGCGATGCTCGAGAAACCTTGGAGAGCAGCATCAGTAGGAGTCATTGGCGCCTGTGGAGCAGCACTAGCTGGCGGACTGGAAGCCGCAGCAGCAGCCGCCGCAGCAGCGGCCGCCGCAGCTTGTGCCAGAGATAGATTTTGAAGACTGGCAGCCAAATCACCATCAAATGATGATGCCGCAGTTGTTGATGGCGGCGGTGCAAGAGCCATTGTGGGACTAGTAGTTGGCACCGGGGACCTAATTGTTGTGGAACCGTTCGATAATGTACCATTTGTAACTAAAGGTGGCAGACTAATAGCCGAATTAGTTGGTGAGGTTGATAGGTTTCCATTCTTAATGTCGTTCTCAATACCGTTACATGTTTCTGTATGAAACTTGCCAAAAATTCCTAGGGTAAAAAAAAATTAAAGAGCGTATTATGAACTGATTCTGCTTTTTGCTGTTACCTACCTTTTAAAGTTCTTTTGAATTCATCGAAATCAGTTCGAAATTCGATCGAATAACCACCTTTCTCGGGCCTCGGGGTTTTTCCATTAAGATTGGCCAACTGGTTGCCAACTGTCTTGCGCAGGTACATAATTTCTGCGATAGTGCCGTTCTCAAGTAGACGGGACGTAAATTTACAAGCATCCTCAAGCAGACTCGAATTGCGTCCAACTTTCTCAGTAAGATCCATCAGCTTCAATTCACGTTCCTGATAGAGATCACGCAACTCTTTCAAAGCATCATCACGACATTGTTCTAAAAGCGCCTTGTAACTTTGATATGATTCATTAATAAGGTCTTTTGCGGTGCTACGTTGATGACCGAGCTCTTCTAAGCAAGTGTGAACCTCACCAGAAGTTTTACCAAGCTGCTCGAGCTTCAATTTACTCTCTTTCAACATGCCTTCGATTTCCTGACGAACACGCACCTAAATTTGTGAAGAACAAGAATAATACATTTTCTTGATAAACATAAGCTTGTATCTAACAATAAGATGCAATTTCAATTCAGAGGGGGAGTGGGAATCAAATATGTTTTAATTCAGCTCACTGAAATAATATAAAATAATTTTGATAAAAAAAGCGAACTGAAACTATTTTCTTTAACTTCTCTATAGCTTTAGATTTGGTTGATCACATTTTGATAAAATAATTGCACAATACACGAATACAACGCATGAATTGATATTGGTGTTCCACAAGGAACTATACTCGGTCCCTTACTGTTCATAATTTATATAAACGACATCTTGTTTTTTCTTTTGCTGATGACACTACAATCTTATGCATGGACTAGAGTTCCAGTTCAATGAAATAATAAATATGTTATCATAAACAAAGAACAGCTTGAGTAACTTTTAAAAACTGCAAAGACAGCCTACCAACCATTTTTAATGTTTGCATTGAAGATAAAGTCATTACTAGAGAGTGAAAGCTTATTGGCTATAAAGTATAGTCTCTGCTATAGTATAGCCCTATGGCATAATTGCATAGGGATCAATGTCTTTAACGTACACAATAAAATAGTAAAACAGATTAAATCTGCTAATCCTGGAAGTAAACTAAAGACTATCTCTCAAACAAGAGTACATCAATTAAATTGCCTACAATTATGACAACCTCAGTAAATCATATGTAGAAAGTATATCTGTTACAAGAAATAAATCTCTACAATTACCCAAATGTGATAAAAACATAGGGAAAGAAGTCATTTATATGTAACTATGAAATTTTTTAATGGTTTACCAAATCAATTAAATATTTTAAACACCATAAATATTAAAATTTACCTTGAATAAGTATTAACTTTCATATCTTTGTTACAATTCTGATTTGTTTACGTACACAGACGTGGGTAAATGAATAAATATGCCCCTTTAAACACTAAAGAAAACAAAATAGCTTTTGTCATTCTTTAATATTATATAAAAAAAAATTGAGTGCTGTCAGCGCAGGGCAAAGTAGTATTACGTAAATAAAAGTTAATATCAGCAATTTCTTATGCTGAAGTGTGCATTGTGTTTCATACCTTTTTACAAACAATTCCTTTAAATTTTATTCATTGATTACTATACTTCTATTAAAAAAACATAATGGCCGACAATAATGCGATAATAATTGAAAAAGAATGATGGCCGTCAACTGCAACAATTAAAAAAAAAGGATGGCCGCCAACTGCAACAATTACAAAAGAATGATGGCCGATACTACGTCATAGTGGAGCAATAAAAATGGCCGGGGCAGAGAGAACTAGTCAATTTAAATAATTCTATATAAAAAAGATTATGAGTGCTGCCAGCACAGGGAAAAGTAATATTACGTAAATGAAAGTTAGTATCAGCAATTTCTTATGTTGAAGTGTATGATGTACGATGTGTTGCATACCTATTTACAAACAATTCCTTTAAATTTTAATCATTGATTACTATACATCTTTTAAAAACCCATAATGGCTGACATCAGTAACAATGCGACAACAATTGAAAAAGAATGATGGCCGACAACTGCAACAATTAGAAAAGAATGATGGCCGATACTACGTCATAGTGGAGCAATAAAAATGACAGGGGGAAGGGGGAAGAACTAGTCAATTTAAATAAAAATATTAATTGCAATAATTAATAAAATTAAAGAAATAATAACTGCCTGTAAGCTTTACCAACAGACGTGGTAACAATCCAACATATTAAAATTATGAATTTGTCACTTACCTCAGAATCCAAGATGCTTTCACATTGATGTCCTGCATTTTGCTTGTGTTCAGTCTTAGTACATTCTCCACAAACGGGCATGTCGCAGGTAGAACAATAAAAGAGTACATGCTCGTTTGAATGCAAATCACATGTAAGAGGCTTGTGCACAGTGATTTTCTTGCCATCCTTGCGTAAATCCTCGAGTGAGATGACTGTATGATGCTCAAAGCAGCGCATGAAACGGTGTGCCTTATCGCAATTGTAACATAGTAGGTTGTGGCAAGTGCAGCAACGCGACAATGCCACCTCTTTAAATGTGCAGCTGGTGCATTGCAAACTTGATGCGTTTGAAACATCCAAAACATTAATGGTGGTCACGTCCATGGGCAGGGCAGCTAACTTCTTGTTGCCAACCTACGAAAATAAAAATTGTCTTATTGCTTATCCAAACAAGTTATTGAAAACAAAAAGTCAAGTCCTTATGCTAATGTCAAAATGAAAGGATTACAGCATAGATTTAAGCAGTACGTAGAAGTAAGAAGCTAAGGAAAATATAAGGATAGTGTTACTTGATTAAAGTAACTTGACAAGAGAATAAATAATGTTGTGAAAATTTATTACATTCTATGCTAAAATGTTTGGGAATCCCCTATATAAAAAATCCTATTGAAAACTATTATGATTTATCAAAGTGGTGAACCTTGGTATCCTGGTTGCAGGTGGGGCATGTTACTGTTGTTTCAGGGGAACCAGAATCTCCTGCTTCATCTATTAGCTCTTTATCTAAACAGCGTTCACAGAAAACATGTAGACAAGAAAGTACTCGTGGCAGAGTCAATCGGTCTCTAAAAGAAAATATAAAAAACATTAATACATTAATGCAACGTGTTCTAAGTAATAAAACAATTATTGCTTACCCGCATAAACCACAAGTATCTGGATCTGTCAAAAGGCCACCTTCTAAGGAAATAACACTGCATGATTGAATTCCATCTCCAAATGCAGAAATATCCAAGTTCGGAAATTCTTCCTTCCCATTGTGAAATTCGCTTTTATTAGGCTCACTTATTTCTTGTTTCATAGTTGTTGCCATGATAAAATCTTACCAGGTATATTATGTATAACCAGTGTTCTTAACCTTATTTTTTTTTTCAGTCACAAAATCACATCCACGAAATTTAATTTCGCGAGATCATCTGGAACATAAACATACCACTCCGAATAAAACTCACGTATGAAAAATTGGTTAATTGATTAGATCTGATGTGCAAAAAAGCAGGTCAAAATTATAGCGCATCAACTTATCAGCAATTAACGTTGGAAGCAACCGAGGCAACTGGTCCGAAACGATGATTTTAATTTTTTACAAAAGTGTACGTTTGCTTTCAAAACGAGAAAAATACACAGAACATGCTATTAATGTCGGTGTTCGTATCATTACAATATCGAGTCTGGTTCTAACTGTTTAATAAAATGGCGCGTTTGCCGTCTGTGCAAGGGCGATAAAACGTCATCAGAGGAATGTACTGCGCGGGGAAACCAAACGTCCGCAATCTATGAAGATCCGCACAAATGATACCGCAATGTTTTTATAAATAAACGCTGGTTAGATTGTATATCAGTTCACCTTCAAATAAATTTTTAATATAAAAATTTTACCAAGAAATTAAACGCATTAAACAAATGAAATGACGCTACACTTAATAAAGTTACCTTAATCAAAAGTTTAATTAATTAGCATAAAAAAAGTCGGCGTGTGCTTTTAAATATGCAAATAATCAATCGTTGTATAATGATAAACGATTTTAAAATTAATAATTAATAGAAAATAGAGGCTTACCAATTAAAAAACAGAAAAACTCCGAAGAGTTGTATAATTAATTACACTTGAAAAGAAAAATTTCACTCGTTTACTAAATTCAGTTCAATTGTTTAAACTTTACTGTCACTTTGATCAATATATAGCATTTGTAAAATAATACTTAAAATACTTATTCAGAGAATGCTATATTCATAATTAATTTTAATAATGAAAAATATTTCTTTCAATACTGTATAATATTTTTAAATGTTTTCTTAACAAAACAAGCCCTTTTGATATGTTTTCTTCAGTTTAATTTTCTAATAATACTGTCTACTATTTTTAATTCAAATCCGTGATACTATTTGTTTATTTTTTGCTGTGTGCTGTCCTATTAGATTTACGAGTGTTACCACCCTCAAACACCTGGACCCTTTTTAACAGTAATTTCAAAATGTCCTGCAGAAGGATCTTAACTGGGTATAGTAATAGATTAATTTTATCTGTACCTAACGACACTTTGGGCGTCAAAATACATTTTAGATCTTTTATACGTTTTTATGTGGAACTTAGGGTTTTAGGATTTTATTTATTTCAGTTCCTCAGAACCCCATTTGTTTTTATTGTATGAAATCATGTATGCAAGAGTTCATTATTAACAGAACCAAATTGCATTATTATGGCCAATAATAAATTTACAAACGACCAAACAAAATTGCTTAGGGCTAAATAACCATATTTATCTCTCAGTGGCCTTTAAGTACAAGCACAAGAAGTTCTATTTAAAGTTGTTACATTTGGAGTAATTTATTATTCAGTCATGACATAAAAGTTAAACACATTAATTAGTAATTCATTTATTTGCTGTTTTATGTTCAATTCGATTGTTTCCATGCGTTTTTCGATGAGTAGCGAGCGCACCTGACTGCGAAAATCGTCTTCCACAAACAACGCACTGATAAGGTCGTTCGCCAGTATGTGTACGCATGTGTGCCTTAAGAGATTGAGACACAACAAACCTTCTATTGCACAACGAGCACGCATGTGAACGTTCGCCCTTGTGTGCTCGCACATGCACTTTGAGATGGCTGGAGGTCGAAAACGTTTTCGAGCAAAGTGTACAAGCGAAAGGACGTTCGCCTGTGTGCGTTCTCGAATGACTAGTCAAATCTCCAGAACGGGCAAAGGATTTACCACAAACCTAAATACAATACAATTTAATCTACAATGTATTACATCGGCTTCTCCTCAATGAAACAACTTAAACATGGAATATATTTCAAAATTTGCGAGTTAAGAATATACTATACAGAGTCCACCAATGATGTGTTACATCTTAATGTCTGTAACTAGCAAAATATTAATTTCAAGACGTAAGTTCCCTGACTATGGGTCGTGTTGCTCAAGACCAAGTTTACCAGCTGGAAGCTGTGTTTTCTTTATCTTTTTCTAAAGCGAAAAAGTTCTAATTAGCAGAGGCTTCTCCCTCCCTAACTTCCGTTTACACGTTTCCGTCATTAGGCGCATACGCAGGCGCCGAGAAGTAAGATGTTACACATTATTAAAATTAGTGGGAGTCGATTGCGCGTCAAATTTTAATACTAAAGAAAGCAAAATTGTGAATCTAATTTAAGTACAAAAAAGTTACGTAGCTTCTAAGTGACCTCTTATTTCGTCCGAAATTTGGAGCTCAATTACTTTTTATTCTGATTCTCATCAAACTTTTAACATCTAAAAAAGTAATTTTATATTTAAGTCTTCTGTAATTTGTCCTTTTTTTATTTCTTTTAAATGGTAAAGATTGTTTTATTTTGGAAGGACAACTTTTTGAAAATCCTAAATATATTTTTGCAATAAATTTTCAACAAGTTGAAATAAAAATTGTCTTATTGCTTATCCAAACCGAGCTCCTCCTCCTTTTCCGTGTTATTTAGGCGTTCGCATCTAAACGTTTGTACCTAAATAGATAGTAACAGACACACACGCACATGTTTCTTATAAACTATGAAAAAATGGCACTGACACGACGATATCTACTTTGTTATTACTTTTATATATAGATATATATAATAAACATTATCGACACGAGAAGAATAAAACCGCACTCACAACAGCACAATCGCATCAGCAATAATAATAGTGTAACAGTTTTAGACAACGTAAATTAATCCATAGTGGGTTATACGCCCGAAATAAAACGGTATAAATGTCCCAGATCAACACAATTCAACAAGAAAAAAAAAGGATAAATACTTGGCATCGTGGCAAAACTTTACTGGGAATAAATATCAACAACTGAATTTATAAGAGGGTAAAAATTGCGACTATGTACATAAGGTTGCCGAACTTCTACAA